GATGATCAGACCTCAGTCATAAAGTCCTTGCAAGATGTCTTAAAAGGGTCAGATAACGTTTTTTAAAAATCAGAAAAATAAGAGGGGTCTCTACTTTCAGCTGAAATCTAATGAGAAATAGTAGAACAAGTTTTATCACAATTTTGAACTGCAGGTGATTCATTTGTTTCCTGTCACCAAAATGCCACTAATTTTTCTTTCCCTCTTTCTTTTCATGCATGACATCCAGTTCATTGCAGTGTGGCCCTTTATAGCTATTTCTAAATCTTCCCAAGGGTTTCACATGTGCTTGGAAGTCTAATCCTGTTAGGCACCCCTGTTGACCTCTGTATCATAAGTATTGCATTCTCTGCTTTGGGTATTTTGGGGTCATCTTTCTCTCTTTCCCTCTGTGGTGCTGTGGATTGAACTGGGACCTTGTGCATGGTAGCTAAGCATTCTGTCTCTGAACTACATCCCTAGTCCCTGGACCATCTCTTGTTCACTGAGCAACAAGAGATGTTGGATACAGCTCTATGCATTTGTGCCCACCTCCTGTTAAAGTTGTGTTCACTGTCCCTGCTCTGCCAGTAATGCTTCATACTCCAGGCCAACTAGGGCCCTCATACTGTGCAGAAGTGGGGAGAATGCCCAGCCTCCCCCATGTGTCACCCTTTGTCATTGAGAATCTAAGCCATGTTGCATGCACTTTTCCTGAAATAGTGCTTTTGACTTCTGTCTGTACTTCCTCCTTCTCTAAGATATAGGTACAGTTTTTTTGCGGGGTGAGGTGGGGACTAGACACAGATACATTACTGCCTTCCCCATTTTCTCACCCCCAATGCCTGAGCTTTGCTATATAGCAGAGACTGGGAGTTTGTGTGTTTATTAAAAATGTCAACTAAAATAGAGCCTCATAAAGAATGATACATATACATACAAATGTTTTAATTTAAAGCACAGAAATATACATTTCTTTAACTACTCTTGATTGAGAAGACTTTTTCTTGGAGTAAAGGACACAAATTAGAAGTCTATGAAGTCTTTCTTATATAATCACAATGTTAATGCATACCTGTGAGCTCCTTTCATTTTTAAAAACCAGACATGTGAAATGATGGATGTTTAAAGATTTTATATATTTTATATAAATATATATATATATTTTACTAATCTCTTAGAATCATCTTGCCCACACCTTTTTTTTTTTTTTTAAATAACTCTTATGGAGTCATTCCAAAGCAGTCAACCTAGTTTTTGGAGCAATAATAACTCCTCATTTCACACTCATTTCATCAGCTCATGCATTTTTAAATTAAATCAGAATAAAAATTACAATTGCCACAAGAAAATGTGGAGACAAATATGACAGCTTCTTGGTGATATGTAGTTCAACTGTGGGAGCAGCTAGGTATCCATAAGCTGAGAGTGTTCCTGTGCCCTTAGTGACCCATGACTGGCAGGGACCCTATGTTTGCTGGTGGAGTGGGGAGAAACAATGAACTTAGTGAATCTGCAGGCTGATTATTTGTATCTGCGGTGTAAACCACATCCCCTCTTAGGTCAGCCCTGTGAAAGGCATCATGCAGACCCATTCACATGAAGTAGCTGATTTAGGGTGCGGCTTCGCTAGTCAGACAAGCTTAAGCAGGCCAGCATTCCCTAAAGTAGAGCAGACAATTAACATTCAGAATTTTTAAAACATTCCCAGAACACAAAACCTGTTTTTTTTTTCCCTTCGGGTGAACAAGAGAATCCTTCTGTTTTCATGTATAAACAGGTCGACTTATGTACCTGAACCACAGGATCATGGAGAAAACTGGCAGCTCTTTCCTTGGAGGTTAAAAACTGTCCTGGAGCCCAATGCAAGCCAGAATTTAAAATTCAGCTTCTGCTTTGGTGCCCTCAAGTGGTTAGTGTGAGCATGCCACTTTCAAGAGGAAGATGGTTTAGTAAATACATAATGATTAAAAAATCTGGGATGAATAGACAGAATGCAGAATTTTTAGGGTAGTGATACTTTTGTCCGAAGCTACAATGGTGGATATATGTCATTATACATATATCCAAATCTATAGAATATACAATACTAAGAGTGAACCCTAATGTGAGCTATGGTCTCTGGGTGAAAATAGTGTACCAGCTGAGTGTGGTGGTACATAACTGTAATACCAGAGACTGAGGAAACTGAGGTGGGAGGATTATAAATTCAAGGTCAGCCTCAGCAACTTAGCAAAGCCTTAAGTAGCTAGACCCTGTCTCAAAATTAAAAAGGGCTAGGGATGTAGCTCAGTGGTAAAGTGCCCCTGGGTTTAATTCAATTCCTATTACAAATAAATAAATAAAAAAAATAAAAAATACACAGATGCACACACAAGCACACACACACAAACACCAGTATAGATTCATCCATGGTTACAATGTGCTGCTGTGGTGGGGGTTGCTGATGATGGAGGAGGCTGTGCGTGTGTGAGGGGGTAGGGATATATGGGAAATTTGTATTCTTTATGCTCAATTTTACTGTGAACATAAAACTGCTCTAAATATAGTTTATTACTTTAAAAAATCTTGTATTTTACATACATTTTTCCTTCTGGGTACTGGTAAGAGCAAGTAAGAGCAAGAAAAGATACATTGTCTAGGGAGGCCAGCTGAGTTCTTAAGTGGGAAGCCCTATAGTCCTATGTCTGAGTCCTTAGTTTTATAAATATCAGAAACCTTATTTTTTCCCCCAATGAATTCAGAGTTGTTCAAATTTCCAGGAATACATCATGCTCACAAAATTTACAAGAGACACTTTGATAAGTCATAATGCCAATGTATTGCCTTACAATTAGAAATATATATGTAGCAGTTGACCAAAGCATGTGTTATCTGAGTAGTTCATTTTATACCTTGTAGGAATTTTTTGGGGAAGACAACTATACTGAAGAGGTTGCTTGGTGAAATCACAGTGGGCTGGTGTGTCTGTGTGTGCCCATGTGCTGTTTGTTTAATGGTTAGTGCTGTTATGCTGAGACTATCTTCATCACTTTAGGGATATGTGTGGCTCTGGGGTGGGAACACTTAAGTCACTAGGCGGTACAGAATCCTGGAAGGTGCTGATGACAGACCAACACAGTCTTTTTCTTTGGATGCTCTTTGTGGAGCATCTGGGAATCCTTTCTTCCCTCAGGGCATAGGGTGAGTGGCAAGGCAACTGCTGGAGGCTTGTTGATAAAGCTTTAGTTAGAGAACCTGTTTGGTCCCCAGGACTAGCATTTAGGTGTTAACCAAAACTTTTTAGCCACCATTTACAGTTTTTTTTTTTTTTTTGCTTAGGGGGAGCTGTTCTACTTATTGCATGATCATTTTTTATACTTTCATTCTCAGAGGAAAACTTATGTTTTGGTGACTCTATCCCCAAATGCAATGTAAAATTAATATGCAAAATCTTTAATCACCTTGGGATATATTCCCAATAACAATGCAGTACTTGGCTAAAAGTGGGGTTTATTCTAGTTTCCAAATTTGTAAGAATGCCTTTGTGCAGGCACTTGAGGTCTGTGTCTTGGGAGTTTTGCATGGACCTTGTTACCTGCTTGCACTTATCAGCTGGTCCTGTGAGTCTCTGGAGACTGCTCAGTCTCCAGCTCTAGGTGCAGCATCCTCTCCGTACTTCTTCCTCACCCCAGGGGACATGGGAAATATCTGCAGAGATTATAAACTGGTGGCCTGTGTTTGAAATCTGATCTCTTATTTTTGCCAATACATTATTTTAAAATGTTTAACTTAATTACCCAATCTGAAAAAATCAGGAAATTCATGCAAACTCTTGAGTATCCATTTTCTCTGCAAAACAATAAATCTGATTTAGTAGGGTCCACATTTCCATTCTTAGCAGGGCAGGAAGTGTTGGAGTGCTCTGGATATGGCACACTTCTTCCAATCATCCTCACTCCCACCCTTTCCTTTCACTTGGGATTGGGGGTGGGTGAGTGACTTAGTACATTGCAAAAACAAAAAGAAAACACAAAACAAACATAAGGAAAAGGGCAGCTTCTCATGGACTACTTCTCCCTGTTCTGGTCCCTGCTATCTGTGGGGGAATTCCTCCCTTGGAACTGCTCCCAGCCTACTTTTCTTCAGACTCTCTCTCTATATGAATTATCTTTAAATTTATCCTTGTGTTGGCTGGAGTGAGGTTGATTAAAGCATGTTGATTTTGGAATCACAAGACCTGGTTTTGAATCCCAGCTACACTTCTTACTGAGTTCAGTTACCTCATTTTTAAAATGAGGGTGATAGTATTCCTGAGAGGGTGGTATGAATATTAAATAGGATTGTGTACATAATGCATCAAGTGGAAGTTTGGTACACAAATAATAGTGCCTTTGTCTCTCTCTGCTGTTAAGACATGGTTCTTTCCCATCTTCACGACCTGGATGAAGTCCAATGCTGCTTTTTGGCTACTCACAGCTCTTTGCTCTTATAACAAAGCCAACTGTTCTGTCTTCCTTAGAACTTCCAATCTTTCTTTCTTTCTTTTCCTTTCTCTCTCTCTCTCTTTTTGGTACTGGTGATTGAACACAGGGGTGCTTAATCACTAAACTACATCCCTATCCCTTTTTATTTTTTATTTTGAGACAGGGACTTGCTAAATTGCTTAGGGCCTCACTAAGTTGCTGATATTGGCTTTGAACTTTTGCTCCTCCTGCCTCAGTCCTGAGTTGCTGACATTACAGGCATGAGCCACAGTACCTGCCTTCCAACCTTCCTTATCGGTACACTTCACATATTCCCTCTTTTTATAGGTGCAAAAAGAATAATAAGAATAATGAATGACAGATGAATTGATTTTTTTTAAGGTGATTCTGTAAGAAGGCATACCTTTTGTCAAATCTCTACAATAACTTTTGTGATGGAAACTGTGTTCGCTTTTGCGGCCATCAGTTGGAATTCTTTCTGAATGTAAATGTACACACACACACACACACACACACACACACATAAAACTTTCTTCCTTCATTATATGTTTATAGAGATAGAACCAAGATCAAAAGCTGGAAAGTCTTCAGCAGACAAAATTGGAACTGCAAGAGGAACCCTTCGTCTGAGATCTAGAGGTCCTGCCACCATGAAAGAAATGGTATGTTCTGTTCATTTGATTCCCGTTTTGCTTGGAAATGTATAGATACCTTGAACTTAGGTCCTGGGGGAATGAAAGGTTTGATCTGGAGGTAAATGGCAACCGACAGACCTGGCAGAGTCAAAAGCATTTTGAAAATGAGATTTGAGGAGGCATGTGAACAAAACCCACACAGTAGCACCTGGTCATTTTGAGCCTTTACGTTTTCATTGCTGAGCATACTGCCTGGCGTGTTGCCGAAGGCCATTACTGTTTCTTGAACAAGTGAACAAGCCCGAGTGGAAGAAATACATTGAAGAGAATGGAAGAACAGTGGGAAGGAACTGGCAGTGGGCAGTGAGGAGAAGGCCAGCCCTGCTTTCTGCTGGAGGCTGTGAGGGAAAATGAGCAGACTTGAAGCAGCTTGAAAAGGAAACAGGGAGAGCAGGATGTCCCTTCTAATAGTTAACATAATAAATATTTGTTAAGCACCTGCTATGTATTAGGTGCTAGGATGAAAAAGAATTCTTAAAATCTGTCGGAGGAGGTAGGAAAGATTTATTTAAAATGAAACATCCAAAAAATCCATCCCTGTTTGCATAGCCTGCTTAATTAAATAGGCCAATTAAAAATAGCTGATAATGAGAGGAAAAAGCGGTTTTGGGGCTAATATTAAATTTGATACAAATGACTTGTAATCTAGTTTCAAGGATTGAAGTATTTAAAGGATTTATAGGATTTGAAACAAATCATCCCCCTTACAACCTGACACAAATTCTGAACACTGAGTGATATTCTATTTGCATTCCTCATACTTTATTCATTTGTTGGGCCTGCACAGTTGCTGGTAATATAAAGATAGATAAAGACTTTGCTCCTCCTCTAAGGGAGAGTGGCATGACAAGAAGCCATTATGAACCAGCTGAACAGGGCTTTGCACAAGGTACTCAGTGTCACAAAGAAGGGGCTGGCCAGTAGCTGTCAGGTGTGGGGAAAGAAAGGACAACAGCAAGTTTCCTTCCAGAAAAAATGATTAAGTTCATGCAAGATGGGGAGAAGAATATCTTAGACACAACACAATAGTGGGCTTGGGGAGCTGGTAAACTGTTCCTGAGATAGAAGTGTGGGTACTGGAAGTACCTGGTGGGGAATGAGGGTGATGAGGCTGGAGGAATTGGCTGGAGTCTGGATGCAAGAGGGTTTATGAGAACCGGGGAGCACTGCAATCAGTTTTGTGTTAGAGAAAAATCCCTTGGTTTGAGGGGATGGATTGTTAAGCAGGATGGATTTGAGAGGGTGATGGGAAGGTCGGGTGAAAGGAAGCTTCTGTGCATAAGAAAAGATGAGGAATAGACTCAGGCAAACAGTGTGGCTGGACAAGAGGTTATAGATCAAGAGCTATGCAGGAGTTAGAGTGGCAAACTCTTGTGTGTGCCCAAGTCCTGGTACTTGTTATGGCAACTTACAGTGTGGCTGTGTAGATAGATACAAATGTTAATGCCTAAGTTATTTTGTGTAGCCTGATGCTTTACACAGATAATTCAAAATAATACACTATAATGAAGGCATTAGCAATATATTAGGTCTGTTACTATTTTTAAGCTTAGTGCTTGTAAATAAAAATGTATGGGGCCTGGGTTGTAGCTCAGTGTTAGAGTGCTTACCTAACATATACAGCCAGAAGGAAAAAAAAAAAAAAAGTAAAACATTGTACTGTTGATCTCCTTAAGGAGATAAACATAAATTTTTATTTGCTATATAATACATTACTAATAAATTTTGAAAATACAAAGCAACAAATATTTATAATAATATGGAAAATAATGTGAAGTTCTGAAAATCTGACTAATGGTAAAATCTACATTTGGACCTGTAGTTGAGTATTAAAAGTCTTTGGGCCATTTCTTTTCAGGTGTGAAGAAAACCAAGACTAATCTGAACATATAATAAATAAGACTTGCCAAATATTTTAAAAGAATATTAAAAATAATCATGCTTTTTACTGAAAATTTTAACAGTTTTAGGAAGAACAAAATTGGTGTCATTAGTACATAAAATACAAACTATGTTAAGAATATTATCTCATAAGTATCTCATGCTTATAAAATTTTCTTTTTTGGTGTTTTTATAATGTATATGATATATTAATATGGTAATACATGTATATAATTAATAAAAATATGCACAATACAGTTAAATAAAAAGTAAGTAAAAAGAGTGGAAGTTTAGAATCATTTTACTGTTGGCATGAGCCATCAAGAGTTTGGAGACCCTGGTTTAGACAATAAAGATCAAAGTCCTTTTAGTGACCCTTAAGGTCAAGTCACATGGGGCTTCTCTTTAGTATGCAAAGCCTCCAACCTCATGTAGACTCTGCATATCTTTTGCCTTCTGCTTCAAGTGCCCCTCTTCTTGTCCACTTGGACAACATAATTCTGAAGTCACCTTCTTTCTGAAGTCTTCCATATCTCTTAGATAAATTTGCTTCCTCCCCATGGTGCCTTGTACCATTTATGTCCTTTATGATTGTTACATAGTCATTTATTTTTACTTCGATCTCCCCATTTAGATAGTAAGCTACTTGAGAACTGTGTTCCCAGCTTCCCGTTTTTGAATCCATAACATTTAAAGCTAACACCAAAAGCAAATATTTACTGTGTTGATTTATATTTAGTTACAGAGCACATTCTTGAGATATTTTCACTAAAATAAGCTGAAGAACATCACCATGAGTTGGCTCCACATCAAATTTTCCCCTGACAATCAAGATATTTCATTTTAAAAATATAATGTCTTATTTCTCTCGTTTTTGATAAAGCACTCTGAAACCAAAGCAAAGGCAATCGAAAAGGTTGATGATCTTCTTGAACTGTACATGGGAATTCGAGATATTGATTTAGGTAAGAATATGCTTTTTAAAGATAAAACTTGATAAGAAACTGTATTTCAAACTGCATAGTCACCAGAAACACACAGCTAGGAACGGTGCACACCCTTCTCTTGGCATGGCAGCACCTCCAGCTTTCTGTGCCTGGTTTGCTTGGCAGCTCCATTTTCTGCAGGCTTGTTCCCATCCTTGGCAGCATCAGCTTTTCCTTTTTTCCATCTGGGCATCTTCTCTCCTTTCTTTGCAGAGCATTTTTAGACTTGGGCTCTGGCTTTGGAGGAGCAGGTTTAACAGACAACTTTGTGGATCTTTTCTGGTTTGCCCATTACCTTGGCTTTATCTCTCTCTCTCTTTTTTTTATTGATTGTTCACAACATTACAAAGCTCTTGACATATCATATTTAATACATTAGATTGAAGTGGGTTATGAACTCCCAATTTTTACCTTAAATGCAGATTGCAGAATCACGTCGGTTACACATCCACAATTTTACATAATGCCCTATTAGTAACTGTTGTATTCTGCTACCTTTCCTATCCCCTACTATCCCCCTTGGCTTTATCTCTCCATCCCTTCAGCCTTTCTCTTGGGAAAGGTGGCAACAGCGATGGGACTTTGGTGCTGGACCCGGGAATACAGCAGCTGTGGCTTTGCTCAGTCTGAGGATCTTACTCACTGCTTCTCTCTGCTCTAAGAATATGCTATCTTTAGAAGTCTCCTATCTTCTAATTTGATGAAATCTAGTGCTTATTTATATATCCAATTGTGCCTTTCAAGATTAAAAAGTATTTGTAGAATCATGAAAAGAATAATGAGTATAAAGATAAGTCAACTTTTGAAAATTTTAGGTCTCTTTTTTTTTTTTTTGGTGTGTGTTTTTAGGGATTAAACCCAATGATGCTCTGTCACTGAGCTATATCTCCATACCAGCCCCTTAAAAACGTTTTTTTTTTTTAAAAATAAACTTGTGATTGCCCTGCCTCTGGTAATTCTTAACCTATATGTTGTGAATGATATCTCCTTTTATTTTATGAATTTAAAAATATTTATGAAAATAATTTTGTAAATGATTCAAATAAATGGTTTTATTAGCTGATTTTTCCATATTTACATTGATACAATTGTGTATTATGATATTAAAATTGTATACAGTTTAATGAGGTTCCTGACACCCTCTGAACAATGAATCAGAAGTAAGGAGAAGGGGTTGGGGATGTGGCTCAATGGCAGAGCACTTGCCTGGCATATGTGAGGCAACATTAAAAAACAAAAAGGAGAAGATAGACACTTGACACATGACTGATAAGCATTTGAGCAGTTGGATTTCTGTGTGTTTATTAGGTCATTATTAAGGTCATGATTTGTCAGTTAAAATCCTATCAGTTGCAAATAACTACAAACAAAAATGAAGCAAAACCAAACCAAACAAAACCCCTAACTCTGTCTTGAGGAACAAAAGGGAGAAGTTTTAGATTCTTATAACTGAAAAGTTCAGAGATAGCTCTTATCTTCAAGAATGGCTAGACCCAGAGTTATAATACTGTCAACAGAATATGGTTTTTTTGGTGCTGGGGTTGTGGCTCAGCGGTAGAGCACTTGCCTAGCACGTGTGGGGCCCTGGGTTTGATCCTCAGCACCACATATAAAGAAAATAAAGGTATCGTATCCAGCTACAACTAAAAAATAAATATTAAAAAAAGAACATGTTTTTTTCTAATGGCAATTCTGGCTTCATTCCATGTCCCTTTGGTATCCCCTGGCAGCTTTAGGCTGTACCTCATGAAACTAAAATGATTGCAACAGCTCCACTCTCTCTATCCTCTTAGCATCAAGCACAATGGGAAAGATGGAGGGGCAAGTCATTGGAACAAAATGCCTAAGATTGTCTTGGGTTGGGTTGGCAGTCTCTCGGGGATGGTTAGTTCTGGGCCAAATGTTCTATCTCTGGAGCTGAGAGTATCCTGAAATACTAGGATCAAGATTGAGAAAGGCCTGGTTCTTTCCTTGTGGGAAGGTGGTTGCAGGGTACAGTTTGTGCCTGCATGCACTGATGCGTGTGTGTGCATTTGAATCAGGTACTGAATACATTTTCTAAAGTCAAGGACTTTCCTATTTTGTTTACCTGCTACCAGGTAGAGAATTTGAAGTTCAATCATCCTTCTCTATTCAATTTCCACTTATTTTACATTTTTCTTATAGAATTGTCAAAAGGCAAAATGAAAACAAATGTACTTTAAAGTCTTAATTGGTTTTTATTTGCAGTTCTAGAATTGAAAATTGGGTAGCATCTTATTTTATAAAATAGAAGAAAGAATATTTTAATGAGCTGAACAGAGGAGACTGGCTTAATAGACAGAAAGGGCTGAAGAAAGCAAAACAACAAATACAATTGGTCATTCCAAGTTTACTTGCCTTATAAAGGCGACATCAGGGGACTTCCTTGTCATACCAGCAAAAACTGGCTTGTTTTAGGATTTGGCTATTATTTCTCACCCTGATATCTTGGAAGATGAGATGAATAATTTAGTTTTGGCTTGTTGGTGTGGAACTTCAGCACAAGTGACCCTGTTTTGGTTTCATCTGTTGGGCCTACTGCAAAGAACTCAGTCCAAACCAAGGACCATTTCATTTACAGAATTTATACTCATTTTTTCTTGCCTGTCCAAACTTTAAAAATTTCTATAGTAGGATGTATAAATGAAGTTTGTAACTGAAAAACACTCGTGCTCTGTTTCTTGATCCTTGAAGAAAAATACAAAACTCACAATTCTAGAAGTTCACACAGGGCACTAAACATCCCTCCCAAATTCCTTGTAAATAAATTAATAATCTCTTTGGTAAATAAATTAGAAATCTCTTTGTAAGGTTGATTAATCATCTGTAGCAAATTCCTCCAGTTGCCATGAAGCATTATCATTATAATGATTAGCTATAAGTGATCAGTCACTTAGGAAGGAAAAGTATTAGGAAAGTAATTATTTGAAGAATGTTTTAAATTAGGGCTTTCTACTATTCAGATATTATTAGCATGAAATATAAATCACAAATGTGAGACTTATTTAACAGACTAATGAATATATTTACTTCTATGTATTCCTAGTATTTCTTGACTTTCAGAAATGTTATTTCTTAATGCAAATTACATTGATATCACATTATTCTGGAATTATGTAAGTTTAAAAAATAAAAAAATAGCATAATAATAAAGTGATTGAAAACAATGTCCTTAAAAAGAAAAAGGAATTAGGGTATATTTATTATTTGAAAATAGAAATGAATTCAAATGAATTTTTGTAGGAAGTTAACTCTGTGTGTGTGTGTGTGTCTGCATTTGAAGATGAATATACTTTATTTGGTTGTAAAGTTAAGTTGTGAACTGTGATTTTTTAATCAACCAGTTGCAACAACAACAAAAAAAGGTCCTAGAAGATTTTGAGTCTATAAGGATTTATCTAAATTGACCTAACTTAATGGGAATTGTATCATAAAGTTTTTTTTCCCCTCTTCCTCTTCTTTTTCCTCCTCCTCCTTCTTTTCCTTCTTCTTCTTCTTTTGATATTGGGGATTGAAGCCAGGGCTTTGCCCATGCTAGGAAAGCACTCTACCACTGAGTGCCTCCTCCAGCTTCAGATTCCACTCTTTAAATGGTTGAATTATACGATGTGTGAATTATATCTCAGTAAAGCTTGTTTTTTAAAAAAGAGCAAAAAAGAATATATTCTATATTGGCTATGTTTTTGGTGTTTGACTCATGTGAATTGTTTTAAATGGGTTGATATTTATGAAAAGTCTTAAGGAGTATAAATGTTGAAGACCTTCCATGGAATGAGATACAGTTACAGATTTTATGGTCAAGTTAACAGTGATGACTAATCTTTATCTAAGTACTGCTTTTTGCCTTTTGTAGGTTTGAATGCTGAGATTCAGAGAAGTTCTGCAACTTGCCCTAAATAAACTAACAAGTTAGAACTAAGATTTAATTCTAGGACTTTGCCACTAAGATTTTAAGCCATGGAGTAATTTAAAAATATCTAATAATTATGTTTAAATATTTAAAAACTTAATGGAAACTATATTGGCCTATGTCATCAAACTATATTTGTCTTTAATAGTAAAATGAAAGTTCAGGGGTGATGATGATATAAGATATTTTCAGAATGGCCATGAGAGGTCAGCACTTAGCTGCTATGTGTGGTATAAAAACTACTTTCAGTGGAATTTTTTTTTTTTGCCAGACTGTATTCAAGTATTATACTACGATATATTGCAGATCTATTTCAGTTAACAGATAAAAATCATTTCAGTACTATCTTATGTTAATGTATTATATAAGCTATACAGTGTATTAGTATATAAGATAAAACTTTTTCATTGTGCTGAAGTTTTTTTTTTTGTCTCTCTCTCTCTCTCTCTCTCTCTCTCTCTCTCTCTCTCTCTCTCTCTCTCTCTCTCTCTCTGTCTTTTGGTACTGGGGATTGAACCCAGGGACACTTAATCACTAAGTCACATCCCAAGCCTTTTAAAAATTTTTAATTTTGAGACAGGGTCTCTCACTAAGTTGCTTAGGGCCTTGTTAAGTTGCTGAGGCTGGCCTTAAACTTACAATTCTCCTGCCTCAGCCTTCTGAGTTGCTGAAATTATAGGCATGTGCCACCATGCCCAGCTGGCTTTTCTCTTAAAGCAGAGATATAATCTTTTATCAAAAAGGATAAAATTATAACATTCATTTCTCCTATAAGGATGCTTAAACATTATGTTTATGTATTAGCAAAAATTTATAGCATGTTCAAGTGCAGTTTTCAAGAGATCTATGGGGCATTACAGTATTTATTTCTAGCACAATTATGAAGCTGCCTAATTAGTATTTTTTTTTACCACTTCTATAGTACCTCTCCCAAAGTACTTTTTGTGTTGAGAGGCACAAAAGTAGAGAATTCACAGGGAGTATGAATTCTGATTTCATTATTTTGAAGCTTTAGCCTTTGGGCAAATTATTAAGCTTTGATTTTCAT